GCCAAAATTTCGGGCGGGTCGAAAAGAACACCGTGAACTCCTGAGAAATACTGAAATTGAGTGAATCAGGTGGATCGTGCAGAAGATGATAGGAAAAGTGCGCATTCCCATTTGAAAACCTTCCGAAAGGCTTACAATACAAGTTCAGATTAAAGAAGTAGAAAGTGAATGTGTGTGTGTGACTATGAGATTTCCCTCTATATATCCCCCTAGTGACCCCATGCAAAGGCAGGCACATATGTGTTGTATGGGGGTGGAGACTCTCGCTCAGGATCCATATTGGTCGCACCTCCTCGGTTTTCAAAAAAGGCCCTGTTCCACCCAAAGAATTCCTTAATTTTCTCTAGGTTAGCTCCCCTAGGAATAATCTAAACTGTGTATAGTAGAATAAAGTGTTTTTGGGGTGGCGCAGGTCGTTGTCTTATTTTCTCTATAGGTTTTGTATATCTGTTTATGCTGCAAAATAAATCACAAAAAGTTCCGTTAACAGAGGAAAAAGAAGAGGGCGGGGGGGGGGGGGCGGGGGGCGCATGTTCTATGGCGTAATCTCTGCTTCAGGGGCAGAACATGACACAATGTAATAACAATGAAGAAAAACCGAATGTCTTCACAGTAGTGTACACTTGAAATTCATTTGCGGGATGTGTTGTTGTTCCCTTGTCACTTTAGGTGTATGAATTTGCAGTGAAAGAAAGTCTTGATCCACCGTGTTCCTCCTGCCGATGGAGGAATCGCGCCCCAAAAGAAGAAACGAAAACACAGGCATGATATCTCCCGTTAACGATAACATGATCTCTTGCAAAAGAGAGTTTAGCCCTCAGTGTAAAGCTCTCGGAATTGATAATGAGTCTAAAAGTTATGCAGAATTAAAAGTATTCTGAATAAGCCACAGAGAGAAAACTGAATAGTTTGTTTTTGTTTATTGTGGCAGGTTATGGGCAAAGATTCAGCTCAAGAAAGGTATTTTGACCTGAAAAATAAAGCACATATATTACTGCACTGTGCATTTTGAAATATGATGCAGCTTACTGTGCCAGTCTGAGGACCTTGTCGCTCTGTTGCTCCAGATAACTTGTCCAACCAGGTGTGCAAATACCAGCCATGTGATCACCCCGACCATCCGTGCGACAGCTCCTGCCCGTGTGTGATGAGCCAGAATTTCTGTGAGAAGTTCTGCCAGTGCGTCCACGAGTGTGAGTGTCACCTTTTCCTCATTCCCGAGTGTGAGCCCTCCCCCCCGTGTACTCAGTAGTCCTGCCTTCTTACGTGAACAACACAACAAAAGTAGCTCTCTCTGTCTCTCTGAAGGGAAATTGGTTGTCATGACCACATTTTCCACTGAAAGCGTTTTTTTCCAGGCAAATATAGAGCACGGCAGCAGAATGTAAATGGACCCTGCAGTATTTTGGCAGTGGTCAGAGGAGAGACTGTCCTCTGGCTGGGATCGCTCGCTGCCTGCTCACAACGAGGCTTTTGCTGCAGAAGCAATGACCTAGAACAGTGCTTTCCGAAAATGGCCTCAGGGTGTCGGAGCGCATTTTGTGTTTTTGCTCCCAGGAGAGTTTGCGACGGAGAACAGCAATGAGAAATATGAATAACATATCAACAGTTTTTGAAAAGATGGCTTTGCCTCATTTGGTCCCCCCCCCTCCTCCCTCCCTGCCCCGACTGCTACCCCGCCTTTTCCCGTAGCATAGCAGCCCCCGGGTTCCACATGTGTGTGCGCTTAAGACTTGGACAGAAATCAAAGGGATGTGACAGGCTGTGTGCCTGATACACAAGCTCCAACATCAGTATGAGTCAGATAGACCCTGCTTGATGATACAGTCCTGGCTGAGGTTGATACGCCAACGCGTACCGACAGTTCTCGGCAGGAGGCTGCTGGAAGGACATTCTTGCCTGACCCTTGCACTCATCTCCCCGGAGGGTGTTGAGTTTCCTCTGCAAAATTGTATTTCACCATATCTGCCAGGAGAGGTCTCTGAGTGATGGGCCTCTCAGCTCCACTCAGCCATTAAGTTTCTGTGCTGCAACTGCGCTATGACGTGGAATTATGTATCATGTGCTGCCAAGTCACATGATGTGTATTCTTCTGAGCAGCTGTGTGTCCTAACGTTTTCCAGGCCAGAACCGCTTCCCAGGCTGCAGATGCAAGACGCAATGCAACACTAAACAGTGTCCCTGCTACCTGGCCGTGAGGGAGTGTGACCCAGATCTGTGCATGACCTGCGGCACGGCAGAGCACTGGGACAGCAAATCCATCTCCTGCAAGAACTGCAGCATCCAGAGAGGCCTCAAGAAAGTACGCAAGGACAGCTGAAGGTCCAAGTGTTGGCATGTTTCATTTTGTAACCTTGCCGAGAAGTCCGTGGAGTGTTGACCTACATTTGACTTCTCTCAGCACCTGCTTCTGGCGCCATCAGATGTCGCCGGTTGGGGCACCTTCATCAAAGAGCCGGTTCAGAAGAATGAGTTCATCTCTGAATACTGCGGAGAGGCAAGTACATGCAGTCTAGTCAAATATATATATATATATATATATATATATATATATATATACTTGATTTAATTTTTTTCATATATTTTCTGCGTGTCTGCTTGAGCAGCTGATCTCCCAGGATGAGGCGGACCGACGTGGAAGGATCTACGACAAATACATGTCCAGCTTTCTCTTCAACTTGAACAATGGCGAGTATTCCCCATTCCTCCACTGCTCACACCCCTACCGCTGTCATTTTACACGTTCCTCAATGCTCTCCCTTGTGTGCCGGCAGACTTTGTTGTGGATGCCACGCGCAAGGGGAACAAGATCCGCTTTGCAAATCATTCTGTTAATCCCAACTGCTACGCAAAAGGTATGACGGAATCAGGTTGTTTCTGCCATGGAGTCAAACGTGAATATAGGTGGCTTTTGTGGGACGAAAAGCAGTCGTCTTACGCTGTGTTTGTTGCCCTTGCAGTGGTAATGGTGAATGGAGACCACCGTATTGGTATCTTTGCCAAACGAGCTATACGGCAAGGGGAGGAGCTCTTCTTTGACTACAGGTAGAGTCACAGGCCTTTTAGTGACTCCAGCAGGTTCAAAGTAAAATGAAAGAAACCAGGCCTTGCGGTACATTGTGACTGACTTACCACTCCCTGTAGTTCCCGTACACTAACCCGGACTCGTCTTCTTCCCTCCACAGATACAGCCAAGCTGATGCCCTTAAATATGTGGGATTAGAAAGGGTGCATAGCTCCGTATCCTCTGCCTAACCCTTCAGCCGCCCACTAATGCTTCTGTCCCTCTCTGTAGCGCCACGTCCAGCTGTTGGGTTTCAGTGAACAGTCTCTGTCTCTGCCCCTCTCTGCTGCACTTATGAAAAAAAAAAGAGAGTCCCTTCCATCTGTTTGCTGGTGTTGCCGCCCCGCTTACACCTCGCCGCCTTCTTCAGCGACGGCACTCTGCGCTCCCTCTCATCTGCCCCCCCTCACATCTACCTGCAAGAGTATATTTGTCGAGCTTATGAAACTAAACTATTTAAAGTGGAAATACTATTAATCTGCATCGCTTACCGTACCAGGATGATGACATGTTGTTTTTGTTTGTCATCTTGTTAAAGCATAGAGGTTGTGACCATCATGCAGCGTGTTACTCTAGTTTTGATACTGTACTCATAGACCGGCTTTTTGTTTGACTTCTCAATACGTAATGCAAGCTTTTACATCATACCTAATGATGGTCAGTGAAATGCATGTGCTGTCTCATAAGCGAAACCAATAAACAATGTTAGTCCCAGCATTAGCTTCAGTCAGATTCTGCTCCAGTCCCTCCGTATCGTAGTGTGATGTTACCCGCCGCCTGCACTACAGACGAACTTGACAAGGTTCCAAAGCTTTGTATGTTCATCTGTAAATCGTTCGGCAAAAAAATAGGCAAACAGACAAGAAACCGACTGACTGAATGTAACCTGTGGTGATGATAGTGGAGAGATCTCGTCCCTCTTTTCATTTGACGCATTAACCCATTCTATTGGTACTCTGAACAACGTGCATGCACATCAAACCTTTAGCATCATGTTTGCGTGATCTTGAGGACTACACACTTTGTGAAGGAAATCATTAATTCATTAACAAATAGCACAGTTAACATCGTCCTTTATAATACAAGTGCCAAATGATTCCACACAGAAAAAGGCTGGAAATAGTGTTGATGTTTTGCAGAATTGACATCTGTGTTAAAGGTAAACTTTGCAAGGTTAATACAGTGGGAAAAGAACAATGATCAGTGTTAGACCAAATATTAGTTGCCCACATGTGAATATAAAATATCATTTTCCTTATTTCTTTCATATGTCCAGATTTTCTATCCACTCGGTTTTTTGTTTAGAAAACATTAAAGGCCACTTTGAAATGAGATCTTTCACAATAGGGAACAAAATGGAGTTTACTGCTATGTACAGTGTCTGCCTATAACAATAAAAGTTTAACTTTATACATTAAAATGTGTTTTTCTAGTTTGTACATTTGCGTGTGGAAAAAACATCCCTACAAAACACATTGACAATTTCCTTCAAGCTTCTTTTATTGAGTTTGGCTTTGCCTTGATTTACACAGTAATGGTCATTTACAGTGGAAGTATTACAAAACAAAATCAACCCGACTTACAAACAGAAAATATCTCCTAAATGACAGTGTGATCACAAACACAACTGTAATAATCATTTCTGGTACCTGTCGCAGAAGGATTATTGTTTGATGGTGCAGACGGTGGTCTGACCTGCCGGGTCTACGCTATCACCGGCTATCTGCAAATTCACATAAGTATGTAAAAGTATCAAGGCCTTTATGAGTATTGAAATGAGGTTTTTCGCATGGCCAACTTTCGTATTTAAAGTCTATTGTTAGTTTTAGGCTAAATTTCAGGAAGCACTAAGCAGCCCTGGAAAAGTTACACATTTGGTGAAATGGGCAGATAGCCAGTTCGAGCTAATGACAGCCTTCCTACTCCCTTTCCTTCATATAGGATACGAGCAGCAAGTTTCAACGTGCATGAAGTTTGCAAATGGCCGAAGAGCCACTATGAGCTACATGCAGGCCTCGTTTCCGTCGCCTCGCTCTACGGTCAGTGCACGACAATGAGTACGGTGGAAGGTTGGCATGAGTGCACATGATCGATTTTTGTTAAAAGACTGTTGTTTTTTTCAAATCCGTATCTCGGTGGGCCGACCAGGAATACACAAACATCTAACCATTCATTCAGTCACACACACACACACACGCACAAGCTCCAGGGACCACGCATGATTAACTAGTGAGTGGCGATGAATGTTCATAGTCTGTTGAGTACAGTGAGGTTCATACATTTAAATCCTGCATGTTTACTTATTCCTACTAGGCGACAAAGCATAATAAGCCCAAGTTTGTTGGCTTGCGCCCATTATGAACTTTGAGTGGTGATTGTCTATTTAACAAAAGCACAAACTATTCTTGGTGTCAATCTCAAATCGACAGTTTCACTCCGTTTTCTCACTTTTCATTTTCATTCACATTGTGTCGCTCTTAAAAACACACAACAGTTTGGGGACGGATCTATTCATTTCCATACATTGTTAGGAACCAGTGACTTAATGGTGATTGCAGTTTTTACATCCTTTCACTGTACAATTTTGCACTGCTTTTGTCAATTTTTTAGTGGTGGAAACAAACAATGCTGAGCTTTTGGAGGTGTACTAGTGCTACAGAGAACATGGTCTGTACTTCCCTTATCCTGAGCATTCTGAAGAGCTACCATGAATAAGTTTACCTTTAGTGCTAAGCGGGCTACAATGAAGACCCTTGAGCAGGGCTTCAATGTAGCGTTCACTTATACATTACACAGTCAGAGGATTTGCATTCAACGCACTCCATTTAACTGTTTTCAATTTGTTTTGTATAGAAATCACAGGAATAATAAAAAAAAAACACAATATTTGTATAATCACGTGTACATTCATTACATCCTACTTGCTATGTGCATCTGCAAATCAAACGCTCGCATCGTTGGTGGTTGAAAGAAGCTCATATTATTGCATATTACTGCAAAGTGCGGTCATGCTCTACAAATGCAAAGCTAATGTGTTACAAATCTTCTACGACTTTTACCACATAGACCTACACAATTGGGCTTTAGTATCAAGGAGAGCTGCAGTGAGCGATGATAGCCTGAAGCATTGGTTGCACCACACATCAAGCAAAATTTCACCTTGCCAGAGAAGAATATTCCATTGGACTATAAAGGTAGAATTTGGGACTTTCCACTGAAAGCACCGAAATAAGCGGGAAGCAGCGCGGTGACGGCATGGTCAGCTCTCCTAGAGCAATGCGCAAACATATTGCAGCGGTATGAGTTGGAAGTAAAAGATTAGCATTTGCACTCCTGTGGTCCTCTGTACATATGTCGCTGTGTGTGCATGTGTGTTCATACGTGTGCTTCTTCACGTGGCCACTGGGAGCAGCTGTTTTCTGGAAAGCTGCTCTTCATGAGGGATGAAAAGGATTTCGGGAGGATGGATCCTTTAGCTCTGCTGCTGTGACACACGAACGCAAGTCAAACTCTCTTTAGCACCAAGCTACTGGCAGCCGGACCATAACACAAAAGACTAGAAGTAAGAAGGAATGAGAACTTGGATATGTAGGCCGCCCCCCCTGCTGGGCTTCATCACCTCATTGCCCGTTAGACGAATGTCTACATTTCATCACACACTAATTCCCGAAGCTCTACAGCTGAGAATGTGTTTCAGAGTCTGAGCATACTGGGATCGGCAGAGTTGCTATCTATTGCGACTGTGGCAATGCTGAACCACTCACATGTGCCGTACTGTATAGGCAATGCAGTGTTATAGGCTGCAATACGACGAATATAAGCGTGTACACCTTTCACAATCTATATGTAGGTTCTTAAAGCACCATGCTTGTCAGTGCGTTCTCCCCTGTGTTGGATGTTTTTATTCAGGAACACCAGATTCTGTGTCTGTGATCTGAGGTTTTATTCAGCACTGGTTAAGCTCACCCTTTCTCAGATAGGCTATCGGCTCGAATCACAAGACAAATCACCAGCAGTGTTGTCAAAAAGGGCTCCATGGGAGATTGTCATCGAAAGGTTTATGTCAGATGGCTATTGACCTACACAGTAAGATCTTTTTTTTAAGCATCTTGAAAGTGGCTCGGGAAAAAAATCAATGATTAAAAGAGTTTATATTCAACTAATGTTCCAAATGTAAATGAACATCCCTTAAATTCCTATCTCCCTGTGTCTAATCTAACCTCTCTCTGAATAAGCTATAATGTGACTTCAGATCAAGCTTGCTCACATGAGGCACTTCAGTATTTCACCCTGCAATACAGTGTGAGACTTGTTGGCTACTCACGCAACGGCTTGATGTGAACTTTTAAGCCTCACCAAAATACATACTATGTAGAGCACCAGGCATCTGATCCCACTCAACCCTGGGAAACAAACACAAACCAAGAGAACCAAAAAAGAGAATGACAGAATTAGAAAACTTAATCCAGGTATCTGTGGTTGTTTTAAGTGCTAGTTCCCTCTCCCCAACCCCCAGTCAATTCCCACCCACTGTGTCAAAGGTCCTCTGATGCTAGTCGCTCCTGAACTCCTCCTCTATTTGTGGGAGGTTCTTCTTCTCTCGCCTCAGGGTCTCCGTCAGCGGCCTGGAGCTGCTGGGGGATTCCAGGTGCTTGGGTTCGTTGGTGCGGTAGCTGCCCTTTTGCTGGTACGCGTAGACGTAGATGCTGTACAGGCCTCCAAAGAGCAGCAGAATCGCCAGGATGACAATGACTGATGGATAAAGAGGGGCAGAGTCAATCTCTAATACCATGAGAAAAGAGGTGCTTCTGGCAATATTGATGAGAAGCAAGCACGGCTGACTCAATTTTCAATGTGATGTTGTTGGATTTAACAGCCAGGTCTGTTTTTTATCAGCTAGTCAGTCCAGACATCATACAAAACAGTGTATATTATGACTGAATCAAAAACTAAGGGTGCCATGACTTTGTATTTACTTTGTTTATGCAAGAAATTCAACTGTCATTGATGCACTAGTTGAGCACGCTCTCTTTTTCTAGTTTTAAGTATCACTGATATATTGCACCTCTTCATGCAAATGCAGTTCAACAATTTTAAATGATATATTCTGCCAAAAAGGCATGTTTGGTAAGTAGTGAACATTCAACTGGATGAATGAGATTTTCAGGAATTCATGGGCAGGTTGGAGTGATTTATATAAATGGTGGTTCTGGGTGTTAACAGAGACCAGCTTGCAGTCAGTTTAGAGGTCTTCATGGTTATATTGTATCTGCATGAGTTTTCACAACAATTTGTATTTAAATGGAAACAGGAATACAACATAAATGTTGACTGTAATGGAACTCAATGAGTACAAGTTATACAGAACGTCCTGAATGCAATCTCACTGGGCATGAGGGAGATTGGCATAGCTTTGTGACCTGAGAGCTCTGCTGAGTTTGTAAATTCAGAATAATGTCAGAAATACAGTATATTTGAGCCAGCCAGGATGAGGATCTTAAGTAGTTGTCAGGTGATGTGCTCTCATGTGTTTGTCCTGGAGAGCATCACCCTGAGACTGATTAAAGGGTTCATCAGGTTGCAAAATGAATTCTGTTTTTTTACTATGGTCCCTGAGTATTCAGAGAGAAGCTGCCTGTGAGACAGTTTATTGTTCAGTCGTTATCCTATGTAGGTAATTTTAATGTACTCCCCTGTTCCTTCTTTGGTTTCCTGTTTTCTGGATCTGGAGACATTCAATTTCATGTAATGGGGTTTCTTTCTTTGTCTTACAGTGTGTTTACTGTGTAATAGACTGGTGAAATATTGTCAGTGTGTCCACGGCCTTTATGCCTTTTAGCCAATGCCTCAGCACTTCGGGTTCATTATCTCGATTAATAGAACATCAGAGGAACACAAATTGTTTTTAAAGTGATATTCGCACATGACAGATGAAGGAAATATATGTATTCAACATCGTCGTTGACAGAATTTGTTGTTTTGTTCATTTTTTTTTAAACTTACTTCTTCATCATAACCTATTTATCCTGCTCCGTTTAGCAGACAAAGATGATGATTTCTGAAAACCAGAGGGGGAACATTGCTGCGATGATTGAAAGGCACACCAATTATTAATGTCATGCTGATGTCCTCAAGCATTAGCATGATTACTCTGGATCTGGAATGATCTATTAAACTGAATCTTCTTCTGTCAATGATGAACCGTAAACTGGGGCCATGCAGACTAAATATAGCTGATCCGGTAAAGGTCTCAGACAGGCGCGGAGCAGACAGTCTCTGTGGCAGTTTAATCCCGAGACTCCAGCTCATCAGAGCTGCTCTAATTTTTTTTCCATCATCTGTAATGTTGTGCTGCAAACCGCTGATCTTCACCCAACACTCCTCTTGTAATGCGGTGCAGAGTTATCATGTAGATTAAACAGTAGAATAAGTATATGAAATATTGACGATTAGTTTTTTCTCTTGCAACGACATACAAGTCTATTTCTTTTCATTCCTCAAGATTAAAAAAAAAAACAGACCTGAACCTAATCTTTGGTACTAAAAAAAATAATGCATTAGAAATGTCTGGCTGTTTATTTTTCAATGAGCTTTGTTTCTGGTTTTGTCCCACAATATATTTGACATGCCAGTCAGAAACGAATAATTAAAAGCCCACATTGGAATTTGACAACCGTGCTCTAATTGGAGATAATAGGATTTAGGAAGGAATAAAAGAGAGATTAAAATGACTGATTTGTGTCATCTGGGAGAGGAGGGAATTACTGAGGGAAAGGGGGGGAAGCATGGGGTTGAAAATTAATAAACAGCTAATTTCCACATGAACTGTTTTTATGTTTTTTTTTAATGAAGCCAGTCTATAATGAAGCAGATCTTACCTGTTATCCAAAACAGGCCTAGGTCATCATGGATATAAAAATACTCTGAAAGGTAGAAGTACACAAGTAAGTGGATGAAGACTTATTAATGTCCCCTTGTGTACAGAGGTGTTACAGAACATGCAAACCAACCTATGGTGGTAAACCAAGGGTCAACCTCCCATGGTACATAACCCAGGATTGGAGGGAAAGCGCCACAGTTGGACTCAGACACGTAGCCTTGTGTCGTTACCGGAGGGTCGGTTTCATTTGGACGGAAGAAGGCTTTTAAGGGGGCGTAGACGTTGTATCTCACCCCGGAGATGCAGCCTATGAAGCCGGGAGCATTATGTCTTTGGACCTCATAGTCAATGTCACCAACCTCTGAAAAGAGTGGAAGCAATAAAACATCAACCGAGTTCCATCTTAAAATAATGATAATGACAACACTGTCAGCTAAATGAAAACAGAGCCCTGGTGGCTTCTTCAACGGGTGGATGAATTGGATATTTACCCATCACTCTGCCCATGAACATGGACTTTGGAGAGTCAAACCTAGCGTCCTCCACTAGGACTATCTTTTCCACGATGGGCTCCATGTAATCCACCTGTGGTGCGCGTCAAAATAAAAAAAAGATTTTATGAGCTCGGCTAGTTGTTACCAGTCTTTATGCAAAGCTCACAGTCCATTACTTCAGTTAAAATAATAAAGCACAGATCAGCGTGAACCTGTGTTTTAATGGTTCGGTTGTGTCTGGTTATGTTGACGTAGTGGGGGTATCCGTCTGCCAGGTTTAGATGAGACAGCTCGTACCAGTGTGTTATCATGCCCGATTTCTACCTCAGATGCACACTACCTGTAGAGGGAGAGCAAACAAAATGCATCACCGGTGCACGCATCCACCTCAGTGGGAGTTCAGTCGGAAGCCTAGTCTGTATTCCCCTATATGCACTGGCCGTCGTTGCGGCATGGAATACTAGCATTGAGACACTGTCCAGTACAGTTCCTCCTTATCCCCTGTTCTTCATTTACTTTCCCCTCAAGATCAAGGGGAACACCGTTCATCCGCAATCCTCGAAGACACCCCAAGAAAGGTCTCAGTGTGCGGTTAGCTGCACCTGATACAAAGAATAGTTTACATCTTTAGTTTGTAAGTTCACAGAGGATACAAGAAGTCAGAAGTACGTCCAAGTTTGCCTCAGTCTACCTACCTACTAGGACAGGGTGCGTAAACTTCATGGTGACGAAAGTCTGACCTGGAAAACGTGTGACAGCCCAAGGCTGATAATCCACCTTGATGCGGGCCAGCTTCACATTAATCTCAGCTTGAACAAAGTGCCACTCGTTGTCATTAAGAGGCACGGGTGAGCGTAGTGTCACATTAACGATGCCGTCACCAACCATAAATACAAAGAGCAGGTTATGGGTGCCTGGAGGAAAGAGGATCACAAAGGAAAGATGTTTTTTTTTTACTTTTGTTAGATATTACTGTACATCGGCTGTGTCAGGAGTATAGCTCCCTGGTTGCAAATGACACAACTCACTATTCATCTCTATCCGAATAAAGTTTCGCAGCTGGTCATCAGAGTTCTCCAAGAACACGCCGTGGTCACGGTAGGTTTTGAAGTGGAAGGAGATGTCAGCGCTGGAGCCCGGCCGGAAGGTCGGGAAGGTTATGTAGGTGGGCTTGGTGAAGGCTATTGTGTTCCAGATGTTTTCTTTGAAAAACATTGAAATACATGTACTGTGTACGCATAAAAAAAGAACATCCAAACACCTCAACAAAGCAGAACACCAATGTGTGAACACAACACATAATATCCATGCTCACTATCGCCATGGCAGCGGAGGGGCCCGACGGTGAATTGTGCTTCTGAGCCGGTCCTGTTGGTGTCCCCGACCACCACCTTCCTAACAGGCAGGTGGTCTCTGAAGTCCAAGTAGCCCTTATCTGAGTACCTGAAAAACCACAGTGGGGATCTTCAGACCTCACCATCAGTGTGACCCATTCAAGCTATCCCTACAAAACGTATCCCCTCTCTTACCATTGTCTATAGTCAGCGTCACAGTTGCACTGAAACTTGGGATCGGTGCAGGTTTGGTTGATAGCGCAGCCACACTTTTGAACCTCTCTGAAGGTTCCGCCCCAGTAATAGTGACTCGCGTTGTTACGACCAATCCAGTAACCAAAAGGTCTTCCGTCTATTTTGAAGAAGAAATGCGGTTGGTTGACTATATGTCTTGTTTTCCACAAGCATGCACCCAAATGAATGAGGTGACGTACTCGGGGTGTTGAGGAGACGGGACTTGTAGCAGGAGTAGTCGATCCACTGCTCGCAGTACAGTGAGGTGTTGGCTAGAGCGGTGACTTCGTCCCAGGAGGCGTTCCAGTAGTTGACGTTTCCTATGTACGGCCGGTCTATTGAACTCCCAGTCACCTTTGTACCATCCACACGGTCGTGCAGAATCACCGTCCAAGCTTTATAAGCTGTGAAGAGGCACAAACGATACAGTGCATGGTGATTCAGGGTTATGGAGGAAAGACGGGATGGATATTAATGTAAAAAAAAGCAATGGTAAGAAATAGAAAATGTCCACACACACACACACAGTAATAATAATAAGTAAACATGTTATAAAGCCTTAACAGCACGTTGAGTGTCTAGCAAACACTGAACACACAGTGTTGGTAGATCTGTATTTTATTAGTGACAGCGATTACTTACACTTCATTTTGCAGTACACTTCAAATGGTTTCAGTGGCCCGCTGAGATCAGGATCGATGGTGTAGTTTCCAGACCAATACTTGCCACTGAGTCTGTAAGCCTCACATGATTCTTTATAAACCGCTGATCGAGAGGAGAGATGATCAATTGGTTGATATTAGGAAGAAATAAGGTACGGGGGAAGTGCGATACACTGCAAAGAAATAGTTATTGAAGTGAAAAGCACTTACACATGTGACACACTTCTCCTTTATAGCCTGTGTTCTCACACAGACAGATGAAGTCGTCCCAGGACTGGATGCATCTGCCTTCATGTTCACATGGATTTGGACTACATCTGTTAACAAATGAAATACCTTCACTGAGCATTTTGATGTTACAAAAGGGAGACTTTCAATAAAGGTTGAATATCCTCACTTTCATTTCCACTTCCACTATAATTGGTAACTACATCTCAAATGATATCAGAAGATTATTGCCAATTAAGAAGTATTGCAGCCTCATGTTTATCTGTTTGCCTGTGCAATTTTACAATATTTTAGAAGCAGTACGGTACGAGAGGCTGTACTTTATCGTCCAATGATGTAACAGTTCAGGGGTGTTGTTCGAGCCGACGCGGTATTCGCACCATCTCATTCATTCACATCGCTGATGACGTCCACCTCAAACCAATCAGAACGCTGGATTTAATCTACCCGTATTATAATAATAATAATACAATTCATTCACATCAGTGATGCATGTTTTATGCTGCATATTGCGAATTTGGTGATACTTCTTACCTGTCGGTGATGCCACAAGTGCCCAACAACAACTCTGCATAGCGTCCCCACTGTCGTTGCAGAATAATGTCGATATCGAGTTGTTCATTGTCTATGAAGATATGCTGCATGCAACCGTGGAAGCGGTTCAACTTTGTCTCACACTTCCGTATGGTGTTATTGGTTTTTGGGCAACCTAAGTGCAAGAAAGCAAATATATGTATTGGACCTTACAGATTTCTAAGTTGATTTCAGGAGTTGTCAACAGTGGTCATCCTGTCACCTCCAAAGAAGTAGCGGTCTCCTGTTCGAATGGTGAATGGATTGGTGATCTTAAGGGGAGAGCCCTCCTCCTCGTCAATCGTGAGGGTCAGCAGGTTGTCTCTGGCTGCCAAATCCACCGTGTGCCAGTAACCATCATTAAGCCGGTAGCCTAGAAATAGAAGAATGGTCTGTCATGCTTTGTTTATACAATCCAACGAAGTACACGTTAAGACCCTTTTACAGCCTTTAAATCCTTTCGGAACATTAAAGGGTTCAGCGTTAACGTTGGCTTAGTCAAATGAGAGGTGAGCTTCTATCTACTTGATATTTACAGTAACTAAGCGGCAGGGTCTTAGAAACCTGTCAATGGAATTAGGCATTAAAATTGTATGCTCCAAAATCTTTCGATGTGATCTTTTCTGTTATACCCGTTGATGCAAATGAACCCACCTGCAGCAAACTGGAGTTTCTTCTTCCCAGGCTGGAATATGGTGACGTTAATCTGTCCCTCGCTAAGTCCGAGCTCGAGGGCACCGAGGTCGTCTGCGAATCGCGTGAACATTAGCAGGCCCGTGTAGTCCCACGAGCGGAACTTGAACTTGACGAACATGCGAGGCCTCCTGAAGAAGCCCGGCACCTGCAGGTAGTTGTTGGGCCCGGCAAAGGTCATCGGCTTGAGCAGAATGTCCCTGCAGGCGTAGTGCATCTTTTTCTGAGGGTACGAACAAGAAAAAAAGAGAAAATATTTTGTCCCAGATAATGTAATTCTGTTTAGCTATAATTCATGGAGATCATCAGAACCAGTGATGTCACTGGGATGATGATGGTGCGCTTTACCTTTCGTGGGATGCGGATTTCCGGTTCTTCTCTCTTAGCCATGTTGATGATATTGACGCCATTGATGAAGACGTTCTCCAGGCAGCCCTGGAAATTTTGTGTTGTGGGCAGGTGAGGCAGATTTTGCTCTATCACGCCTCCTACGTATAACTGGGATAAAGGAATCAAGGCACCAGTATTAGTAGGTATTAGTGGACACGAAGAAGTATTTGATAAAAAGTATTCAGCATACAGGTCATTGATCATTTTCTTTACTTATTATAGACTTCAGGTTTACAATTTATACTACACATAGGTCTGATCGGTTTATGAGGTACCTGCGTGTCCAGATCAAGGTGCGTAAACTCTCCTTTACAGATGGCTGTGACTGTGTGACTGTCCACTGTGAAGTTCACCTGTCGACCATAGCGCTTGATGGTCACATAGTGCCAGTGCAGATTATCCAGAAGGCTGCCAGCACTCAGCGTAGTCCGACCATCAACTTTGTGTATTACACTGCTTCCTAAAAAAAGGAGGACGGGGGTATGTAAAAAAAAATGTAAGAAATTATTCTAAATCAGCACAAGTCAATGTGAAAGTGAGAGAAAATACTGTAATGTAGAGCTCCGGTCAACAGTCTAACCAGCATCATATATACAACATGGCTCTATATTAGGAATGAGATCAAATCACTTCTTTCTGCGAGATACTATTGTGTCACCTGCAAATATTTTCTTTACCCTTGACTCAAATTTTCAACGTTTCAAAGACTTTTTCCATCAAACAACTCATGCTCTACCGAGGCTGATGTGCAGGTAAAGACGGCCTCGCTTCAGCTCCAGGGTGAAGAGGTCTCCTTGAATCCCCTCGCTGTGTAACAGCAGACCGTCCTGCTCCAGGGTCTTGAAGTTTATGGCAATGTGGTCCTGTAGTGTACGGGACCTCTTTTCTGGGTACATGTAGACTACTGAGTCATCCCCGTTGTACTGTAGCACATAGGAATCTGCAGACACAATTTTAAAAATAGACTCAACAGTTGTGACTTGCATATTAAGTTAAAGTCTTATGTGGAATTCATTTTATTTATATTAAGGATTATGGGAGTAAATGCGTCATGGCACATTTCCTGGAGCTCATCAGATGCGTAATCTAGCTCGTAAAATAATATAAGAATCAGGTGATACAGAGTTTAGTCATTTTATTAACTAGGAGCATTTTTGGCACTCAGATTTAGTGGCCTATTATCAAATACGATTAAGCACTGGGATTGTGAAATGTCCCTGGAATTGAATCAGAGACTTTAAAACTAAATCCCTGGGTAGCGTCCATCAGTCATTTTTTACCATATGAACAGCCATACAGCTCCAGCCTCACGCCAATCTTCCCTCCATTCTCCGTGTTCCACGCCAGAGGCAGCAGACGAATGTGTTTAGCAGTGAAGGAGTAATGGAAGACATTCCTCTTCTCCTGATAATAATTCCAGTTCGCAGGCAGCGTCTGCAAACAGATGGGAGCAGGGGAATATGGGGGAGAGCGTCATTGAGTCATTGCAGTGGTGTTAGCGCCTTATCGAGGGACTGCAAACGAACCGATGACGGGATCGGCTTGGCCGGTGTTGAGAGGGATAATATGCCGCGCTGGGTTTGTTTCACTGCCAGTGACAATGAATTGTAAAGATTACATTGGACTAGTTAATCCTCGCCTCATCCCCCGTCATGGCCCTCGTCCCGCCACCCCTCCCCCAACCATCCTGGATCGAGTGACACCTACGGAGTTGCCTCCTTTCATGATGTACGGCGTCCAGGAGTCCGGCCGGTCTCCATAGAGCAGGGTGTACTTGGTGATCCAGTCATATGAGTTGAAGGTCCCTTGGGTGGCGATGGCCACCAGGCGATACTTCCTGCCCAGGTCGACCTGCAGCCATGGCTGTCTGTCCCTGGGAGACGGGGACCAGCCACTGCTGCCTGAGGGGGAGGAAAAAGCGAGAGTTTGGCAGGAGGGGTGACAGATAACATAGCGACCGTGACTGCACTTTAAAGTCTACATTGTGGGAGCCATCTTAAAGTAGGGTGAGATAAAGTAAATATGCTGTAGTGTTTTTTCTGTGATTGGACAAGCTTTTAGTATTCCACAGAGTACAAAATAATCAACAATATGAAACTGACAAGCAAATATCCCAGATAAATTCCCACAGTCACTACAGGTGTTTCATTGGTCGCTGGTTGTGTCATCTACAGTCCTCGTTTCTGTGCCTGAGTGAAAGTACGTAATGCTAAAAGGTCCACAATGAGTTTTAGTCCCAAACACATGCAGCAGTATCTGTAAAAAGAAAGAATAACTGAACCTGAGTATTTTATATTTGACACCTGTACATTTCTGTGATATGCTAAACAATCTGCCAATGTAAAGGTAAGATGTGTGGTGATAAATTATGGATTAACTCAAACACACTACGGTGAGGAACTTACCGTATAATTTGGCAAAATTGGCAGAGTAAAGAAAGTTATATCTGGAGGAGGCCAGGAAAGAGGAGGCGTAAAGACTGGAGATCAGCGGATCAACACATTCTCCTGCAGGACAATAAGGAATATAATCAGTAATTTAAAAAAGGACCTCTCATAATGCAGCATTCATGGAGGTTTCCAAAGGATACAGTTCTGGACAACAAAGACTTGCCCAGCCCGTTAAGAACAAACCATTTTCACTTTAATTAGAGGGTTAGTTCATGCTCCACTAGCCAGCAAATAATAATTCAGCCAGATCAATCCTATTAAAATCTGAGATTAGCGCAAACACGTTTGGTCTTTCTGCTGCCCAGGGTTTACAGACAGGGAGGTCACAGATAGTAAAGCACAGTCCCCAGATCGCTGCCTTTTAGGGCTTAACGTCCTGACATTTAGACTTTAGCGTTCATTTTTCCATTTCTCCGCAGGATGGGTGGGACGAGTTGTGAAATATGACACTGACAGCCACTTAATATGCACCCTATCTCTGAGATAAACTGTTGTGTAAGTCATGCAGTTCCACCCCCTTCCTATTTCAAAAGAGGTCTCGTCCTGTGCAGTAGGCTGAATAGAAATGTTGCTGCGTCACATCAGCGTCTGTGTGTGTGTGTGTGTGTGTGTGTGTGTGTGTGCGTGTGCCTGTGAGAGCCTGTGTGTCTGTGAATATCTATTATTTGGATGCAGTTTCACAAGCAGGAGAGTCAAAGGCAAAGCGTTGCTTTGTCATGCTGTTGATGGGCTTCTGCATATGGTGCAGCTATCTGCTCCGGCTCGCTCCCGCAAGCAAATGGCCACTAAAACTCATCATAATTCTACCTAATCTCGCTTGTGTCCCTGCTGTGGGTAATTGTGCAAGGCGCTCACCTCGAACTGCAAAACAAACAATGTCTCATTTGAAGTGCCAATGTATGTCACTATCTTGAATATGAAGGTAGGCAGATACAAATAAGTGCGCAGTGTGTGGATTTGTTATTTTGTAAACAGAAGTTCTGTCTTTGTAATTCCTTGGTTCTTGATCCCAGAGGTCACGGACGTCTCAAAAAGGCGGTGAGGCGGATGGAAACAGGAGACGTTTGCAGAATTAGTATGCAGGCTGCAGATGGAGCAGAGTGAGGAAGGTGCTGCATCGATTAAAATATGAAAGAACTTTGTGAGGGAGCAGAAGACTGAGCCGTGCCAGCAAGGTCCAAAGGGAGTGGAGAGCTTCTGTCCTCAGCCTCACAATGTCTGAAATAGCACATGAAACGTTCGAGCCAGAGCACACACACAGTTTTCTTTTCTTCATGGTCACATGAGCTCTGTGAGCTCCCTCGCAGGGACACGCTGCTCATTCAGGTGGAGGAAATGTGCTGAGCAAGTGAAATGTGACCTTGACTTTCTGCCTCTGCGTCTCACTATTTTCGGATTTGGCTCTCCTTTTTTGACATTCAGAATTCACTGCGATGCTGGAGAAGATCATTAACAAATCTCTGCTGAATCAATCTATTACTGCACCGCCGAGCCGTTTCAAAAGAGTCACTGTACAAATGGCTATTAAAAAAACAAAAACAGTTACACAGGCAAAGGCTATGGCTATTTAAAGCTAATGGGTTCAAGTCTATGGAAATGGAAGAAAGAAATGTGACTTTAAATGTGAAGCAGCAACCCACGACTGCAGCAGGTTAATCCAGGTCCCCTCAGCTCCTCCTAAAGGCGGGACTGTCACCGCCACCCGTCCAATGACGTCCTCTCTCTTTTTTTTCTCGTATCTTTTCTTAAATCATCCAATCGTTCTGGTTCTCACTCTGTTCCATTACCTCATACTCTCGCTGGTCATTTTGCCGTTTCCTCCTTCTCTCTCTGCCCTCCTGGGCGTTGTCGTGAATCACGATGCAGTAAGATAAGCGCACCTGAAGCCTGCGCAGATCATCCAGTCACCAGGCACGTACCTCTCTCCCCATCGTTCCCCACCCCCACCCGACCCACCGCCCCTTCCCTCTGCATCACCCAGAGTCGTCTCATTCTGCATTCATCACTGAGGGCCCGGGGCGGGGAACAGTGTGGCAGTGCAGAGCTCCTGCACCACTCTTGCTGAATCATCAGTCTGCTGTAAGTGTAGGCCGGTCTGTCTGGGCTGACACATGGTTACTGCTTCTCAAGTACAGTATGCGGCGGGGCGCCTCCTCTTCCTGCCACCAGCCTCTGATGTGTGACAGCTGAGGAATCAGGCAGAAAACCCCCGTATGCGTGTGCAGATGTCCACTGAATGCAGATGTAACAAATATATCAAGCTACTGCTGCGAATGCTGCAGTGGATGTACACTGCGAGTGGAATTATATCATGCACCACTAAGGGGGTTCCAATAAATCATTCATACCCAGGCAAGCAAAACAGCGGGTGGTGTCGGCCATTGCAGCACATCATATTCAGATTTACAGTTACACCATGAACGGATTTATTTTTCCGGCCCAAAAGAACATAACAGCCAACTTTCCACGCAAAGCAGCGTGCTCCTCCTTCTCTATCGATTCCAATCACGTGGTCCAAACGATCTCCTGGTGCTCGTGCTGCTAACCATGACAGGAGGTACACTGAGTGAGACGCAACCACACCCCAGGCTGGGCCACTGTGCGCTGGCACCTGAGGCTCCATTGCAACCTGGCAGAGCTCCACTGAGCAGATGAACAGTCAGGCTGCCCAGTAAAACACCCACAGGACGTACAACAAGGCAAACCCACGGGCCCTAACTTACTGGAAAGCCATCTGACATCCAATGATGTTTAGTAACTTCCAGTAAATTGTAGCCTTTACAGTCCATTCACTTATTAATAACCAGCCAGTGCTTCTAGTCAACAGATAGGTATCATAGGAAAAATGTTTATATTTTCATGGAATAACTCAAGAGAAAAAGCTCAGAAAGGTGTTTGGTATGTTAAGTGGGTCCCCGTTAACACCCAGAGCTACTGTGAACCTGCATGGCTCAGCTTGACAATGCAGTTGGAGTTGTTTTCTCTCACTGGTAAAGAAACTAATGAGTCACGCAAAAAGCAGTACAGGGTTAATTGCTAGTCGGGGCCCTCTTGCCAATGACATCACACGTAATGGGATGCGTAAACGCTCTGTGATAGAAGGGCAAATTGCACCTTGGGCAATTTTAGCCCCCAAAACACAGACCGACATCTGTCCAAACTAAACCCACCTGCTTCACTCATCCAACATCGCGAGTGCGCAGGAGGCAGGAATTCGCGGGGAGGTGGTGGGAACACGGGCTTCCCAAAAAAAAAAAAAAAAAAGTACTGCAGTGGGCTGGTCCCGGTTAGGATGCTGTGCCTTGCCAACTGCACCACCACTTTAATAACGTGTTCACAACTACACACCACGTCCGGCCATTGCGAATATGAGATAATTAAGTCACAGACTGTCGGTCAGCAACGTGCTCTGCGGGCGAGTCGAGAGTTAAGGGCTCGCGGTGCAGAAACTTGCGCTTGCGAAAGCACTGCAATGCAGACAGCCGAGCGCAATGACTAACATGCGCACCTTGCGCAAGGACCGACGCGGCGTGCCGCCGTACTTGTGATCCCGCCGAACAAATCTGCAATCCCAGCAACCCAAACGAGCAGTGAAAATCGACGATCTGTACTTTAAAGGCTTATTTTATCGAAGCGTGCGTTGCCCTTCAACGAGCTGAACACGTCGGGCTGCATTCAGCCCTCCAGCGGTATTTTCCACTTAGAACCGCATGTTATCGTGCAACTTTTCTCACGCATATGATCAAACAATAAACAATATGCAGATAAGGCATGTACAAACAATTTGACATATTTTAATTATATCGTAGCAGTCGATAATAGAGGAAAAATTGCTGTTTTACAAGACTTACGTGATGAGCAGTGTTGAAAACCCAGACATAAGAGGCATATGCTCAGTATTTTGCAAGGCATCCTTCAGTTAGAACCCGTTTCTCCGCAAAGGCTGTGTTAAAAAGACCGTAGATTGTTCTGCAGCATCCTCCACCCCCCCTCTTTGGCCCAACTTTAACTCGCGCAGCTCCAACTCCTCTTCCCGGGATCTCGGGCAACCTCTACCGGGGCGGGGACGCGCATCAGATGCTGGTGCTGATGCTGCGCTTCGCCGTGAGCGCGCACTTCTTCCTCTTTTATTAGATTTTCGATTGTTTAATTCACATGGCCCTCGTGTAATGGCTTGGATCCTGCATGGTATTATTTGTTAACAAGCAGAATGCTTGTCAGCTAGGTGGAAGTTGCGTTTGTGTTTCTCCCCTGCTGCTCCTGGATGGACGAGCAGACTGAAGGGCGGATCGGAAGAAAAAAAACAAAAAAACTTTTCAGTCCCGCGCAGAGTGATATTATATATCCAAGAGAATGAAATAGAAAGTTGCCATGAAATCTCCAAATGGGTCAAGAACAAAAACTGTGGGCACACCTTTCGTTGCTGCTAACTTGAGTCCACTGGGCAGGGAGGTGGTTTAGAATTTCTCTCCAGGATAAAAAGATTGTAAGCTTGAAGCCTTGAATAAGATGGATGTTTAATGTCCTGCATTCAGCAACAGAACCGTGCACAAGCAGGCTGCTCTTCGGTTAGTCTGTCTGACCTTGTCCAGGTGCCCTGTGCGTCCCAGTGCATTAAATAATATGTCCAGAGAAGAACAGGTTACTGGATGACGATGCCAGCTGAACTCAGACTCATCCCCATGCCACACACACACAGAGTGGTGGGGGCAGGGTGAAACTGAGGCAGAGGGGGATTTGTGGCAATGGGTGGCACATTGACCACAAAACAAAAAAGGCTTTGGGATTAAGAAGTAGGTTTATGGGACGGCAGGGTGAGTGATGATGTGAGATTGAATGCCTGGGCCGCTGTGGGATTTACCGTGTTTTCAATCAAATCAGATTGGTAGTTTGTAAGCCCCCTGGCACTGGTTTCCCCTCTGAAATACCATAGCAGCATGTCTGCAGAGAGACAACAATGTTGAACAGAAGAAGAATGGCAAAGGAGTGTAAAGTTTTAGATCAAATCTTTATTTACCTGATAAGACAGACACACAAAAATCTCGTCAATTGCAGTGGAAAGTGGAGATTCAACTGTTCTGAATATCCAGGAGAAACGTTCTCATCGCTACTGTAATCCACACAGAAATACTATCAAAGTGAAATGACATTTGAGTGCGTAATTATTTCACATAACTTATGTGATTTATCTTTCACCTATTTTAAAGGTAAATAATTACATTTCTTTAGGAGTTAAGGAACACATGTTGTTGTCTGATAGCTGCTGCGGTGCACTCCCACACATCTACACCTAGCTCACATGTGTTGTGGTTGCGCTGGATTGCCATCTGTCTCCCCGTTGACCTTATAGTAACCATAGAGACCGGTTGAGTGCTAACAAGGTTTGTTTGGGGTTAAAACACACATCTGGGAGAAAAAAAAAACACAGAGGCTTAAGTTATAAACTGATTAACAGGAGCAACCAGGGCCAGAATTCCTGGCATAATGTATTTCAGGCTTTCCAACACCTCACTCACAAAGCAATGGTGATTTTTGCCATAAAAATATTCAACTTCAGTTCTTTAATTGTCTTTTTTCGATGCAGGAATAATTCTTCCAATGAAGCCTGGCTTGTTTCACGGAAGAAGAAAAAAAAGTCCTTAAAATAACTAAATACATTTTTCCCCTATTAACGGGAACATGCGTCAGTCAGTAATTTAAACGAAAAGTGATTCATAAATAGATTATTTTGGTATTGTCTGAACTAAATGATCAGTTTGCTGTAGGATTTACAGTTAAACCACAACTGACCACTAGATGTCAGATTAAGCTCAGACACGGATCTCTGTCTCTCGCACAGGACGCCAGCCGTCCAACTCTCAAGTCCAACTCTCCCCCTCAATCTTTAATCTGCAAATCAAACATAATGTTTCCTGCTGCTAAACTGCATTGGACCTGCTCTACAGAGCAGTAGAGAATCATTTTAAACTAAATATGTATTGAAACAACATGGACCTGGGAAAAGAAAGTCCCTCTCTCCGTTGTAGTGAGTAGTCATCACAGCCTTTTTGTGCGTTTGTGTACATAACCGGCCTGGCTGTGGGTACTGTTAGTGTATGTTTGTCTATGTGAGCGTGTGTCACTGCTTAGCTGACAGCTCCCCATCGCTCTCATATGAGAATAACACCCAATAATACTGCCCCGACCGACACCGTGAGGTTTAGCGCCGTCCCTCTGGGTCTCCTCCCCCAGGTAAACACTATCAGTTCTGTCAGCGCTTTCACTGCAGTCTGCGCTTTTAGTGCTGCTTGCAGACCGTGACCTTCTGTCGACATGTTGAGAGGCAAACCAAGTGCACCTTCTAGATGTGAATGAAAAACTTGTTTGGGTTGAAAAATAAGTCTGACAGGAAAACAAGGCCGATTATTTTCCAGCTACTAAGGCTGAAAATATGTATCTCCACCAAGAGACGTGAGCTTCTGCTGTTTTAATTCCACTTTAAACCAATTGACACACACACACACAGGTTACACTTCCTCCAACTTTTTTCAGAAACACACAGATGCACAAACAAACTCCGCAGGTGGAGACCAGCGACGGCCTTGTTTCTCACAGGGATTTGTTTGTGGAATCAGATTGTGCTTTGGTTTGCCCCCATTAGCTTTGAGTGTATTTTTCCACGGGGGCGCCACTGTCGGCCACGCCGCCTAGGATACGTGCTGAGGGAAGGAAAACAATTACTAACACGGTAGCAGGCTCACACAAAGACATACAACTGGAAAGCCCACAACCACCAATGCACACTCACAAACAGAGGTCGAGTTATGCGTTACGCCCAGATGTTTCCAAAATGGACGATGATTGTGATCTCGTTGGATTCTAAGACAGGTGTTTATTTTTCCCACATATGGGAACCTGATGTCCTTGCAAACTGCCAGGTGATCTGCTGTAAAAAAAAAAAAAAAGCGCTATTAAATGTGCCCATGCAATGCTATGACCTCCTGCTGGTGAGGGCCAATCTCAAGATGAGGCCAGCGGAGGAAGCCCGGTCTGGGATCTGACCTCTGAAGATCTTCCCCCAGTGTTAACGCAACTGCCGTGTCCAAGACAGCTGCTACAACCTGTTTGACTACTCACAAAAACAGTTAGTTTACTGAGACTGAGACCTGGCATTATGGGAATGTCACTTATTCATTGTATTTGTTCTCACCTGTATTTATCCAGGACAGTATTAGTATAATATAATATAATAATAATATATAATAGTAAGTAATAGTAAACTATTTTAGCGTAAAGATACAAGCAACAGAGTTGAAAATAAAAAAAAACTTCTGCTGTATATGTTTTGTTTAGCTTTAATTACTTTCTAGCATAGATGAAAAAACGTGATACAACTCTTTAACTGACGCTTTTCTACGTTTCTCCAGCAGCATGGTGTGTAAGCCATCTAAACTCTCATCAGACCTCAGACTGTGTTCGCCAAGCAAGGGATGTGTGATGAAGTAGGAGTTATGACACCTACTGCTGTGGATCAAGTAGATCTATCCGCAGAGAAGACAAATGCGCATGTGACAGCTCCACAAAGGTTGCAGCAGTGACACCTGGGTGAAATAACCAAAACAGCTGCAACGCCGGGGAGAAGCATGGAGCTGAGACACTTTTGTTTCTCATGTTTGCTGCCAACACGAGCAGACACACACACTCACACACACACACACAGATGCGGAGGCACAGCCTCTGACACACACACACAGACGCACACTGCTGGTTTATGTTTCCCTCACGCCGCAGACAAGCCGCAGTTATTTAGTCTGCCTCCCGGTTTGTTTGCCCACTGTCTTCTCTCTTTTGTTGCTCTGCCTTGGCCTTTGTTTGATGTGAACTGCTGACTGTAGCGATTGGCAGCTGCAGCTGGGAGGATGATGAGTGAGGACGAAAAAAGGTCACGCCAAATGACCGAGCACAAAGGTGTCCATGTTGGTCGATTTTTTTGTTCAAAAAGCTGACTGCTTCTCCCATTTGGTCGCTGGAGGAAAGAGGGAAGTTGCACAAATGAACTTGGACAAGAGCTTTCTCAAGTTTGCAAGCAGGTCCAAAAAGTTCTGCTGACTTATTTCTACAGTGTTCTGTGTTCTGCATGCACTGACACACACTCACACACACGCTGAAAAATCTTGCCAGATTTGCATACTTTCTTTCCCCTCCTCAGCTCAGTTCCTTGGAGTAAAGTACCTTTGGCAGCCGGGCAACAGAACGCTGTGTCCTCCGTGTCGGGCCCCACTTCACTCACAGCCTGCAGGTGGGGGGGCGTGGGTTGAGGCATGAGGAGGGCATTGATCCATGCAGCTACTCTTTTTCAACTGTAGGAACAATTTGTTTAAGACCAGTTTGCAAGGATTTCATGAAGCCTTTCTCCAAAAGGACTGAGACGGCCTCATCAAGTCAGAAACTCCTCCGCTTCCTCCGGTCAAACCGGGAAAGTGAGGTCGTTAGTTTGTGGTAGGAGTGGATATTGTGCCTGATGGTGAACCGTTGATGAACAAGCCCGTGGGGAGTTTGTGGTGTACAGGGTGTGTGAGTCACGAGTTTGTGTAGGGATGTAAATTTTAAAAAAGCCAGATTCCTTACAGGGTTCAGCCTCTGCATCCATGCATGTTCCCTTTAAAGAACACGGCACCTAGCAACAGCCTGGATAAAGCCCGGCTGAAGACAACACACTGTCAAACTCACACATACACAGTTTATATAGTACCATGCATTTTCCTAAAAACATCTGCAATAAACTAACTTTGTTTTAGGATTTTGACCTAAAAGAGTAAAGTGTGAGTTCAGTCTTTTTAGTGTTCATGTGTCTGCATGACTGGTTATCTGAGATTAAACAGCTGCTCATCTAGAAGGTGCAAGACTTTTTATTTTTTGTCTGTTTACGGCTCTAGTTGTTTTTAGCTGAAACATAGGTGTGACTGCGTCGGCAGAGAACATAAAGGAACATTGGCATCATCAAGCAAAAATCATTGGAATATGAATTGATAAAAGGCTATGAGCTGGTTTATCCACCAATGCAACAATGTTGTAGGTGCTTAGATTCTTTTAGATTTTAAAATCTTTTCTCTATCCTGTATTTTCTCTGCTTTGAACTGTAAAGATCAAATGCCTCAAAGGCCCCTCCTCCTTTATAGTCTCTCAGGCGAGCCCTATTTAACTGTGAATGGCAGTCCCATTGTGTGCACTGTCACATTATGTTTAATGTTTTCCTGCCACTATAATTGAGGGGACTTTTTAAACTCATAAGTGTCAAAAAATCAAACACGACACGTAACTATGCAGAAGGATTATCTTTCCGTCCTTTGTCACTGGCGCCTTGGTTTTCTTGATTCTTGCCTTGAAAGTTCCAACAGTTCTTTAAGTATGGAAGATCGTATATACATGAATGGTTTTAGGGAGGGTTTCCCTGTAAAGTCACCCAGATGCATACTCGCAAATTGGACCAAAGGAATAGCCGCTTACTCAGTTGTGCTGCGAACGGCTGCTGCCCAGACTGAGGTAAAGCAGTGGGCACTTTATTCAGTACTGCGTGTACTACTAGGAGCCGCTC